GAAGAGACCAAGGCGAATAATAATAATGGGAGTATATAGGCTATCAATGTCCAAAGCCACCGTTGTGATGGAAGCATATAGCCATCATCTTGATAAAAGCGCTCGGTTTCCCTGTTACAAAAGATTCTTGGAGAAAGCATATAAAAAATTCTTAGTGAAAGCTAAGTGATGGATAGTCGACAGCGTCTCCAGCATCAACGGTTCTCGCATTCATCATAGGGAAGAAGGGGAAAAAAACACATGGGCAAGGTAAAATGCTAAGGAAATGAATGCAAATTTGGAGAAATATTATTTGTACGAATGTAACGAAATGGATTATTTGAGAACGGATACAATGAGAAAGTGGATTTTTGCGACTGCAGATCTCGAAGCAAAGTGACAATCGAGGGAAATGTATTCAAATTTATAAATGATATCTGAAGGAGGAATGGAGGGAAAAGTTATCTAGTTCATAATAGAACATGACGGGATGTAAATGCATTGCCTGAAAATATTAACGGGTTTTTAGAGAAGCCCGAGAAACGTAAACTTTGAACGAAAAAATTGAGAAGCCATCTGTGAGCGCCAGCAATCGAGCCAAGATCGAACTTTGATCTTTCGTTCAGAAGAGTTGAGAAGATAAAGAGCCAACTTCTTCATCAGAATTTTCCAACACGACAAGTTAATAGCCACCGAATCGTCCGGTAAGAAGCAAACTCGAAACTAGCACATCCTCACAATCTGAAAGATGTTTAAATACGAGTAAATCAGTTCAAAATCAAAGTTACTGCAGCACTCTAATGAAAAATTGATGCACGATTATTTGATTATGACTTATATTTACGAAGAAAAACTCCAAATGGAAAATTTGGTTGTGTAATGACAGAAGGAGCCACAAAAAAATAAAAATAAAAAGGCGCTGCAGTAACGTTTGAATCTTTACATTTATATCCGTAACTTTCCAGACAACATTCGAGAACACGCAATATCTGAAACTTCCTCGATAAAGTTCGGTGAATATCAAGTTGAAGAATATGCCATCCAACTCCAGGCATTAAGATTATATGATGAAAGGAATTTTCATTTTTGTTAAAGTAGCTTGATTTCATAACATCATTTTTGTCATTAAGTGACAAAATATACGGATTTTACCTGCTTTTTATCTCTCCATAAGCATTCAAAAAGAAAGAATTACAAATATAATTCTGTGCTGAAGCACCTCATAAAGTTTTTTCTGTCATCCGATTTTTAAATTCGATATTTTTCTAGCACCCGGGGACAGTAAACGACTGCGACTTTTCTTTCAAAGTTGGACAGAGCGAGACGCGTCCCGGAATCCGAGGCTCTGTAGAGATCATCACCAAAGTATTCGCCGGGGCAGCAAGGCCGGCACTAACATTTGTCTCGGAGGTAAGCGGCAGGCATCACCATTAAAAGATAAAAAACTCGCTCTTGGAAAATGGGAATCAAAAATATGCGGTGATTTGAATTTTTTTTTAAGTATAAGCTGCAGGTTCCCACCAAATGAAAGCAGAACTAAGCGCTAGCAAGGGATGCTGAACCATTTACAGCATTTCAGTAAATTCAGTACCTATTTATGATAAATTGACTTCATGTAAGTACTTCATTCAACAGAGAATAAGAAGTTTGACCAGATGACCGGCGAATAACTCTCGAAGAAAAACATGAAATACCGAAATAGGATTATTGTCTACTAGAAATGAAAAACCTAATATATTTCAAGCACTCAGAGAAGCCATTCAACTTCTTCCACAAAGTAAGTCAATAATGCAACACAATCAATGGGCGAATTGTAGCGGGTTACGCTTTATTTAAAGTTATTCTGAGTTTTGCCTCCAGGCCATAGCATATGAGGAGAAATCAAAAATAATTATATAGTAATGGCAGTAATATATTTCATTCCTCTAGAGATTAAAGGGACCGTGCAATGTGAACGGAGCTGAGGCTAAATTCGTGATAAGTAGAGAAATAATCAATGTCAATAGATGAAACCGAAACAGTATGCAGTTATAGATATAGCAGATATCTAAGCTGTACGAGCCAGCGAATGATGACAGAACTGATTGAAGCCCGGCTACTGTTTAACATACCATTACTTCCAACGAAGATATGTAGACACTTGCTACCGATATAGTATTGCTTGAGGAAGTGCGGCGGTTTAAAACCAAAAGAGCGGCAAAAATTTGGCCCGTTGCAAAGTGAAACACCGAAACTAAGACAATGCAGGCTCTTGGATGATGTATTATGAAGCGGCTGTTCAGAGAAGTCCAATTCCAAGAACAATTTTACTGGAATTTTGACCGCTGAGCAGCGGATCTGGTTACCCTGAAACGTCGCGTTGGAAGTTGCTCCGGCATTACTACAGGGAGAATTTATTTATTATATCTACACAGCGACTAAAGGCGTATAAGAACAGCGTCAAGTATGTCGATATTTGAAAGAAGCAAGACGATTATGAGTTTTTGATGTCTAAAAAAATTGTGTGAGCTACAACCATTTCTAGTTTATATGTAACTCAACTTAGATTTTGAACAAGATTAATATGAAAACATTTTTAAACACAACCTTAATTCCACATCCTTGGTAGTGGTTATTAATCAGTGCTCTGCTGCTGATTTATAACGTCGCTTTTGGAACTCATTTGCTGTGTAATAAACGACGGCCATCAAGAGATCCGCGCAAAAGGACTACCAGCAAATTTCTCGGGGACTTGAAGGATTTTTGCCGCTGCCACGTCGGATGTATAAGCGAGTAATGATAATTCAGGGCAAATGTTGTCCGTGAGGCTCACTGACTGAGCTCTGACGTCAGAGCGCAGGCTCCTCCTCCCACGCTACTACGTCACGTTTCCTCAATGAAACTCCCTCTTTTACGTCACTGGGTTCCCTCAATGAAACCTCTACTCCTACGTCACGTCTGTTTTCTCAATGAAACCTCTACTCCTACGTCACGTCTGTTTCCTCAATGAAACCATATTCAAATAACTCTTACGTAATAAGGAAGTAAGTTTCTTGCTTAAATGAATAGTGACGCTTGTCACTATTCTGCTTGTTTTTCAAATGAAACGCTTGCCACTATTCTGTTTGTTTTTCAAATGCAAACGAAGTAAATATGGCGAGTTTGTTTTTTTTCTAAATGTATTTATTAATTCAACATCCGGGTCAAAAAAAAGTTCCAATAATGCATGTTCCAAAAAAAAATCTCTATCATGTCATGGTAGTTTTAGTTTTTTCCGACTCATATGGCAAGTTAATTCTTCACTTCATCACAAGCACCGCAAAGTCAGTTAATGAACCAGTATTTTTTCCTATATCTTCAACATCTACTAGTTTGAGAATTAGTCACTGGTTGGAGATTAAGTTGATACCAAACATGAGAACTTGAATATTACGATATATAGTAGTAAGTAATTAATATCGGACCCTCAATTGCTATTGTGCCATGCAGATAACGTGCGTAGGCAGGCTGTGAATGAACGCCTACACCCATTAAACTCGACAAGTTGGCGCAAGGGAAATTTTTTAGTTAAAAGGCGGGAGGCATCTGAGGAGCATAGGAATAAGTCGTCGTTTGAGTTTTAGAAGGCCGCTCTTGCAATAACGTATCTTGGCAAAACCGAAAGATCGATGTGAGGCTTTGGAAATACTATTCTTCAATAAGAAGATATCAAGGAATTTTTTGAATCCGATTGATTTCCAGCAGATGATTTGAATAGAATTCTTAATTACTTAATAAGAAGCAAAATTAATAAAGCGCCTAATGTAGACATTGCGAAATACCGCCAGATTACTCTATGTAATGCAGCCTATATAAAAGATTATCAAAGCAAATAGGCCATGGAAAAGTAGGAAGTTATTTAATTTAACTTTCCATTTAGACGTTTGCTCTTATGAAGGAATCATTTTTAAACACTTGATTTTTTTGGGGGGGNGCTGCACTCTGACGTGCTCTACACCACGCTGCACTCTGACGTGCTCTACACCACGCTGCCTCATGTACGCTGCACGCTGTCGTGCTCTGCACCACGCTGCCTCATGTACGCTGCACTCTGACGTGCTCTGCACCACGCTGCACTCTGACGTGCTCTACACCACGCTGCACTCTGACGTGCTCTACACCACGCTGCCTCATGTACGCTGCACGCTGTCGTGCTCTGCACCACGCTGCCTCATGTACGCTGCACTCTGACGTGCTCTGCACCACGCTGCACTCTGACGTGCTCTACACCACGCTGCACTCTGACGTGCTCTACACCACGCTGCCTCATGTACGCTGCACGCTGTCGTGCTCTGCACCACGCTGCCTCATGTACGCTGCACGCTGTCGTGCTCTGCACCACGCTGCCTCATGTACGCTACACTTTAACGTGAATGTTACAGAATTCAAAATCAGTTGGAACGAACAAGAATACATCTTTCAAATAGTTGTCATATGTACAGGCTTCGCAGTATTTTTTACAAAACTATGCGGAATTGTGCGTGAATATTTAACTACATGTACGAATATTACCCAATCAAGAATTTAGTTGCAAATTGTATGGTTTCCTAGACTCATGGATTCATAAAAATTGATGACTCAGGCATACGCATGACTTATGAAACTTATACACTGTTGACCGCAGGCTCCGACTCTAACTTAAATTTATTTTCTTGACATCTCGTCAAGGAAAATAAATGGAATTCAGACTTGGCACCGTAGGTGAAGTGAATTGCTCTTTGTGCCAAAATATTCATACATCGCAGAAGCAGAATAAAGACGTGAACTGGAAATAGATTGTTCAAGTAAGACATAGCCAAACCGCATCACGTTCTAGATGTTTTCAAGTCGATACTGATTCATGCAAACCTGAAATTTGAAATCAGGAAAAGATGCATTGAATGTTTTGTAATTTGAATGTCAGAATTAAGTGAAAATTTGTCAAAGGAATGTTACTTACCGGTAATAATCTGCTGAAAATTTGAAAACATATTTAATTGTACAGTTGTGAACTTTGTACTTACTTTTGATGACGTCACTGAAGGCATCGTTGCAGAATGCAATAGAAATGAAGAGTGCGAATATTTCCTCGGTGGATCTGGTGGACCAGCGCATGAGTCTGGACACGTCGAAGAGGGAGTACAGGATGAGGAAGAAGCTGTTCCACAGGCCCACGGCGCAGTACATCGCGTTGAAGTCCAGGTCAAAGTCCGCGCAGATGTAGTAGATTACTGCAATGAGGGTACAGTACAATACTGTGATGGCTGTGCACAGCATGTATTAACGGTGCAGTAGATTACTGCAATGACGGTGCATTATTTTATTATACTGGCTGTGCAGTAGATTACTGTACAGGCCGTGTAGTACATTACTGAACTGGCGATTCAGTACATTACTGAACTGGCGGTTCAGTACATTACTGTACTGTCTGTACAGCACATTACTGTACTGGCTGTTCAGTTGATTACTGCACTGGCTGTGCAGTACATAACTGAACTATTTCTGCAGTAGATTATTGATGCACATTACCAACGTGATGACGCAACGTGAGTGTTAACACGTTGACAATCAATCAACATCATGATTGCAGGATTGCTAGCGACAGTAAAATTTTGAACGTGGACTGAAAATATTGTGTGGAAAATATTTTTTTTCCTCTGGTGTCAATGCGAAACAGGCACTACCATGAATTTATATTCCTCTTCGTGTGTAAAAGTAATGTTTGTGTGAATTCTAACACGAAATTTATCAAATATATCTTAAATTTTCGTGAGATACAATGTAGTTAAATTACAGTATCAAAATTGTACAGTGTTCGCGGGAGTAGAATTGCTCAAGGCCTGAATTCAGTGCAAATAGTGTTGAATGTAAAGCAAATAATATAGAATATTACTTTTGATGTAGATAGCGAGGGGAGCCGTCGTGAGCTGCACGAGTAGTGGCTGGCCAGAGAACACGCCCCAGAAGATACCCCCGATCACCTGACCGATGATGACTCTCTTCACGTCTGTTACAAGGTAATAAGTCTGATCAACCTAGTGCCTGCAACAATATATACTGCATTTACAAAATCTACTGTGAAAGATTTAATGTTCGGATAGCCCATATATATTTCCTATGTTAGGCTTCAAACACACACAATCATTGACAAATATAGATAGTGTTTTATTTTATACTGCGTATTTGATAAGAAGCTAAGTTTTTCTAGCTAACTGGCTTCAAATAGAACAAAATTAGTACCAAAATTTGTGCTCTTATTTTCAACAAGGGTTTGTGCATTCGACATCAGTATGGTTTAAGTTACACTTTTCTCAACCAGACTGGAATTTCACTTGCCGTAACAAGCCAACCTCAAATTATTTCAAGATAAATCCCTGCTGCTATAAGCATATAGAAGTGTTGAAACTGAAGAAATGGGCTTATGGCCTATTACTGCATATCTGCATAAAATATTATCTTCATGAATAGAAAATTATCTTCATGGCGTATGCATGTCATAGTAGCGCTGCTCACCAATTTTGCCGTGCGTGTTGTGGTCGTTGAGGACACCGAAAGCGATGGCGGGCAGGATGGAGGCGAAGTAGAGGAAGAGTGTGGTGCTTATCACCTTCTGGATGGTCTTGTCGCCCACCACCCCGTCCCGGTAGTCGGCCCAGTAGTGCGGCAGTCGTCTCCGCAGGTCTTCTCGTAGACCGAGTGCGAAGCGGCATTTTTTCTTCCGTTTCTGCCCACGTATTTGTTAGAAGGATGATGAAATCTAAAGTAAAAATTGATTGATCCGATCGACAATATGAATATGCGTTGCGTCCGCTACTTCTTTAATTTTACGGTTAAAAAAATTAGTTGAAAGTAATATGTTAGGATATTTCAAGTGCTGCTAAAGCTAAGGAATTTAATGAAATTTGCGTTATCCTAGCTATTGAATTTTGTTTTAACGACGTAATTATTTGAATATGAAGTTATAACAAGAACTATTCTGTTTCGAGGGGAATAAATGGCAATTCTATGAATTACTATCTCTCATTTGACCGTAAAAGCCGAACGACGTACTGGATATTTTCCATACTTTTCATCCAATATTGGTAGAATCTCGGGCAGAATGATCTACAATATTACGCTGTATGGAAAAATTTTCTGAAACCAATTTTATAAAATTGGTTACTGTTAATTGCATTTTTATTTGACGACATTAATGGGCGGAAAAATAGCTTTTACAGCCATGATACTCGTATGATCATAGAAAGGTGCAAGAATTAACTTGATGGTTTGATGCACGCGATTTACTGGATCTCGCCTAATACCAATCAAACTTGGGGCTGTTAGTAGGTTGCGCATTGACATCAGTCACTAACACTGATCGTTAAATTATCGCAAGATGATTTAGAATTTTAAACCACCATCGTAAGATGATTTAAAAAATGCAAAAAGTCATTTGATTAAAAGTTAAACAACCCTAATACCAAAATTATAATGAATCATCTGCATTAAAATTGTGAAGATCAGCTACAACATCGTATCCATCGATATGATCATATATCCATATCCATCGATCCTATCCATCGATATGATGTTTATTATATACATCGATAAACATAAATTGAGGCTTCTGCTCTAAATTTTTTGGGTATTAGCCGGATATTAATGAAAACGTATCAAATTACGTGGTGGAATGTTGATAGCTCAAGTTCCTGCCAAATATCATGAAAAAATCAAGAAGTAAACGTCAGATAAAATATTTCAGGACGAGACAGATTTTCTGTCTATTATTTTGACTGTGATATAATAAAAATGATCGAAAAAATTGTACCTACAACTGAGAGCGATGAATGACTAGAAATTAATTTATTCCTATAGTAAAGTCCACGGTGTTCAAACTTTTCAATAATTTGCAATTCGTTAAACGATCATTTAATTTTCCATGTAAGGCATAGCACAAACCTTTATTTTTGCTGAAAAAATAATTGAAGTAAAATTAAAAAGTCGGTTCGCATCGGTAGCAAGGTGTTTTTAAAATTGAATGTTTTGCACTGAATTAATGGCTTTGCAATATTGCGATTATGATATGAATATAATTAATAGATAAAATTAACAGCAAGACTCACAGCTTACTAGAGAAAAAATCAGAGAAGCGAATAAAATAATTGAAATTCATCAATGCAAACTAAGAGTCGATGACGAAAATGAGAAAAAAAGTGGCAAAAAAACACTGGTAGAGTCGATAGATGAATGTGAATAATTCTCGCAATTCAGGTAAAAAATATGACTCAGTCCTCACTGCAGTGAGTGACAGAGAGCGAAACGAAACGTGAGGTCACGGACAGACGGACAGACAGACGGACACGGCGAGCACAATAGTGCATTTTTTCCATAAATGAGAAAATGCGCTAAAGAGTATATGGAGTTGGAAACACGTTTATCCCGAGTTAGCAAGGCGTGCTGGCGCGATAAGACCCCATACATTCGCGTCAAAGTCACGCGAAAAAACCCTAATTAGAAGCAAATTGGATTGAAGCCGGAAAAAAGAGCCGATATTCAGATGCAAATTTACCCTAAGCCAGGGTAACTTTGAGGGGCTCAGCAACTTTAATCAGCACACCGTTGAGGGGGAATCTGTTGAAGCCATGTACGGTATTTCCTGTAATTAAGAATTAAGGCGATTGAAAGGAAAAGGGAAAAATCATTGAATAATAATTATATCTTATATTACAAGCCGCCGTTAGTCGCCCTTTCCAGCAATTATGTTTTTTAGGCAGACATCAGGGATTGATTGTTTAAAAAAAGGAACAATATTGGTTCTTGAAGGTATTACTGATTTTATATCACCCAGATAAAGCGCTGAACAGAGACGGACATAATTGACGCGTAAGGTCCAGAGACATATTTAAACACGGTGAGTATTTGACTCATGAGAAGCAGTTGACGTATTCATAACTAACGAACGAATGAATAGTACTTTTACGGTATACAGTTACTTAAAGAAGGTGCTGAAAGTTCAATTGTATTTTCACGATTTTACCGATTCATTAAAAGAGGCACAATCGAAGGAGGCTGATTCATTGAAGGAGGTGAATTCTGGATGCGAGTGATTGATTGATTGAACTCAATGAGATTATGCATTCCAACGTTGGGAGCAATTAATTAACAAAAATCATATATTAATGAACTATATTTTTTGTATATTAAAAAAAATAAAATTTTAATGAAGCTGAATATTTTTTTGAATTAAACTGCTAGTCCCATCAAAAATTGCAGGAAACACGCAATATTTTTTAACGATTTACACATTTCAATCGATTGATACACATTTCAATCAAGCGACTTTAACCTTTAATCAAACATTTAACCTTTAAAAAATGATTTCTATCTGGCATGCATATGCTTAAATATAAATTAACAAGAAAATTTCCAAATAAACGCGCTTCAGAAGAACTTAACATTTTGAATGAATTGCAACGTCGAAGTTACAATTTTTGTTGTGCGGTCACGCAATGTCAGCTTGCAACCTCTCCATGAAACCAAAGTAAGCAAGACTTAAAATGAAGAAAAACGAAAAGATGAAAAACGCATTTCCTGGTACCTTGAAATACGACCCGGTCGTCGTACCGAGAAACTGAAGTCGATTTAAAACAAGATTTTTTTTCAACAAGTGTAGCCGCCTGCATGGCCAAAGGTCGAGCTCTGAGAACTCGAGACATCCATCTTCAGAGGAGCTATAGGCCAGGTGGTACAATTTAGCAGACTTTGCAGCAGAGCTTTGAGACCAACTTTATTCTGTGACGTTTCGAGCTTTCGGAGCAAATCTTGTGCTTGTTCAGAGGCAATAACGTTCGGCCAAAATGTGCTCTCTGTCTCTAAGGCTCGTGTACACAAGAAGTCTCCTTCAGATAAGCGAATGTTGAAGAATGGGGCTACACTTCCGGCATCTCGAGAATGGCACCAAACTTATGGCTGTTGAAAAATTAAAATCATCGATCTCAGTACTTCATTAGCAATATAAGCGACATTGCTATTAAAGAATATAAAAAGTATGCAAGTGAGGTAATAATGCGACCAACAACAACTATATGAAAATAACTCCTTAAGGGAGGAAAAAATCACGAATTGAAAGTTCTTCATAATTCGAACAGCAGGTATCCGAACTGCTGAGCCACAGCCCAATATCATTTGAAAGTGTCCAATAATATTAGTGTCCAAATTTGTTGCATCGTTTCTAAACAATGATTCACTGTATGAGTACAGGCAGACCAATAAATCTTCGAGTAAAATTTGTATTCTGAGAAAAAACATTAAAATAGTCTACATTTACTGAAAAAGCTCAAGTGCACACGAAAGTACTTCGGAATTAGAAAAAAATATAACTCAGTACTCACTGCAGTGAGTGACAGAGAGCGCATTTTCTCGTCGACGAAAACTTGAGGTCACGGACGGACGGACAGACGGACGGACAGACGGACAGACAGACGGACATGGTGAGCACAATGGTGCATTTTTTTCCATAAATGAGAAAATGCGCTAAAAATGAATCCGATTGTTATCCTTTCAATAATTAAATTTGGCTCACTTTTGGCGTAAAAATATTTATGAGAAATTGTTGGCTATGAATGAGCCAGATGCCCTCATAGGAGTTGTTTGCGAGTAGATTATTTAGATAATTAGCACAGGAATAAGTGATGCCAGTATATGGACCGAAAAAATGTCTAAAGCGACGTCTGCAATTAGGAAATATCAATTAAATTGTGTAGGCGAAAAACCCTTAGCCAGACGGTTATGGACCCTACAAATCGGGAAACTGCTTGCCCACTGCCTCGCCGATGGCCCAAATCTTGAACATTGGATTTGGCTAGAGAGCTAGAAAGGCTCAGAAGCAGTCCTATGGCACGTTCAAATGGCATGGAAAATTGAAGTGTCGGTTCGGTGATGAAGGCAAAAGCAATTTCAAGAAGGGGCTGGGCGAAAAGAGGAAAATCACACTCTCGTCGGGCGACCTAGGCGGGGTATCTGCTTGAGGATCGATAAGAGAGCGTGGGAGAGTAAGCCGAGGTAGCGTGGGAGAATAGAAGAAGTGAGAGCGTGGGAAAATAGCGTGGGAGAGCAGAGGAAAGGAGAGCGTGGGAAAATTGGCCTGGGAGAGCTGAATAATGTCAAAGCGTGGAAAATCAGCGCAGAAAATTTAGAGAAAACTTGACTGGTGACAAAAATACAGGTGCACACATGTCTTTACTAGAGAATTAGAGATAAAAAAATTACACACACAGAAGAAATGAAGTAAGACGTGAAAGCCTGATATAGTTATCATAATATCTCAATCCTTGACAAGGCTTAATTTATGATCCATAGCTTGAGAAGAGCCGTGTTGAACTTTAGGGTACAGTTGAAGCAATAATGCACCGGCCGATACCAAACGTTGCAACGCCAGAAGTTGACGTCAAATGATAGCGAGGAAAAGGTGGTAGTTTAACAGCATGAAAACTGCGAGCGAAATAAGCGACATGACTGGTACATGGAGGACAGTCCTGATAAATATATGATTTGACCGTAATATGGCTGATGAGAATGAAGCCCGGGTTTCTTGACAGATATTATAGAGGTAACTTGACTGATATAAGGGGGGTGACTTGGCTGATATGTAGATGATTTGACTGAAATATGGGTGATGTGACTGGAAATACGAGTGATTTGAATGAAAAGTAGGCGACTTGACTGAAATAAGAGTGCTTTGCAATT